TCAATGTACATGTTTTACTACGTATGAATGAGTGAAAGAAATGGCATTTTTACGTTAGCCTGACATTGAAAAGAATCTGATCAGATCCCATTTTTCTATTAGTTTATTTTATGCGTTAAGTAACTATTATATAGCAGTAGAGCTCCTTGTGAAAGAGTTTATCCAATTGTCACCATGCCTATTTCTGCCGCTAGGCAGTAATGTAATTTGAAGGGTAAGGGTGAAATTACAGGCACATGGGTATTGCCAACTTATGTCTCATGGTGATAGGTGCAGTGGCAGTGCCTCTCAGATCTTTGCGATTTAAGGCTTTGAGTGGCACTGCAATTGTTGCAAGATTGCAAGTGCACGACTTGTTCGTCCTGTCACTTGATAATATAAAAAATAGAATAATACGGCAACTAAGTACAAGCAAGCAAGAATCGACGCGTACGGCGAAAGAGCTTTCGGTGAATTTTGTGTACTTGTTAAGATTGCAGCACACGTGCCCCGCCTACATCACCGTTCTATTTATATTATTTCTGTGGGCGCGTCATTTTTGCAGTCACATTTACTACACTAAAAATTACTGAAGTCTAATTTGTAGTCGCCCTTTGACTCGAAACTTGAGACATTAGTTGTCATATACGTCATATCTGACCCTTATAGTAGACTAATCAGTCAATTATGTTGTATTTACCTGATTGCAGTCTCAGGGAATTTTATTGCTGTTGCTTCGTATGCAAATATGAAATATCTGTTGTGAATTTATAACATATTCGCATTGTACAAAATCCATGGGTAGATACTAAGAATTTGTCCAATTCATCACGGGAAATCATTCAGTAAACTTCGCCACAATGGTTACAACTCACATATCACATAATTAACCAAATCCCTAAGTAACAAAGGCTTACTTAAACCCGCTCCACTTATTATGCACGAGAGTAGAATTAACTTATGCCCCTTTATAAGAACTTTTTGCGAGAATTTGCATAGAGATGTACGTGTATCCCTGGTGGGGTATACTCTATACACTTCTTCATTGCTCCTAATTTTTTTGCTGTTTAAATATACCAATGCTCTTTGAGCTGCGTGTGCAAATTGACTCTAAAAAACGCGATCACCAACTTTAACTGGACGATTCTTTTTATCTTAATTACTAATTTATGTTCAGTAATTGCTTAAGGCGATTCGTGATAAAATTGTACAAATGTTCAACAAAAATAGAATGAGTGACGGGTAGTTAGTGAACATTGAATCAGCACAGAGTACTAAAAAAACCGACCTCAAAAGTACGTGGAATTACATATAATTACCAAGTTTTATTGAAGTCGGTTACCGGAAAGTGCGCAAACCCGGATTCATCCCCTAGTTCGCCACGATACGGGACTTGACACAGGAGATAATAAAAGTCGGTTCGCACTACTCAAAGTATATTGAGAGAGAAAAACGCCTTGAATTGAAGAATAGCAAAATGAACCATTAAAATAATTGCTCCGTATAATAAAATTTAGGCGCTATTTATAAAAATGAGTCTTCATGTACAAACAGCCACCCTTAGAGGTGGATGATTTTCTTCAAAATTAAATGGGACCACTATGGAGCTACCGTCTTTCCAACAAAAAAAGAATCATGAAAATCGGTTCACGAATACCGGAGTTATCGCGTAACGTACATATAAAAAAACATACAGTCGAATTGAGAACCTCCTCCTTTTTTTGAAGTCGGTTAAAAATTTTATATTAAAAAACCTTGAAACATTGCTTATGATGGAGTTAAAATGCAAACACAGCCGAAAATTAAGGACGTTGCTCACGAAACAAGCCCCAATAAATTTTGCAATTCTCAGCAAAATATTATAATGAAGAGAGTTAAGTAAAAGTAACATTTGTAGAGGACAAAACAAATTCTTTGCATAAATATTAATTTCAGATTTCTATATAGTATAAATACTCATGCTCTCCTTGAGATGTACATTTTTGATGAATACTCAGTTATTTCAAGTTAAGTCAAAGTCATAGAAATTTATAGTTTCACCGCTCTATACTGTTCACATGTAAGTTAAGGGCGAAGTTCTTAATTTAAATTATGATTAATCTAATGATTATTATGTTAGAGTACTAAAAAACCGACTTCAACAGTTCGTAGACTTACACCTATTTGCCAAGTTTTATTGAAACTGTTTTTTTTTTTATATAAAAATGGTTACCGGAAAGTGCGTGAAACTGGGTTCATTCCTTAGTTCGCCACCCTTCGAGATGGAATATTTTTTTCAAATTTAAATGGGACCAATACTGGTATCCTCTTTCCAACAAAAAATAATCATCAATATCGCTTCACAAAAAAATACATTCGAATTGAGAGCCTCCTCGTTTTTTGAATTCGGTTAAAAACGGATCCTTTAATAAAATGAAAACTTTACTTAGATGTGTCTCCACTTTGTATGTTTAATAGACTTAGTTCTAAATGTAGTGTACGTATCTATGTATGAACTTATATAAATTGACAATTCAAATGAACCTGTGCCCAGAATTTGGAAGATTAATGAGCCGATGATGATTCAAATGAAACAAGTTATTTATTGCATAAGCGTGATCTACATTCAGCCGATTGTCTATAGAATATTTATCGACTGCAATCACTGGCTACTTGTAAGTGGGCAACACTTTAGCGTAATGAACTGTCATTTTACTCAATCTTCAAAATTCTATTTTTAACAAATTTCAAAAATTTCTCAATTCGTCTTTTTTCTTGTGTGCGTAACATGCGACTATTCCGACATTTGTAAAGCGATTTCGATGATTCTTTTTTTGTTGGAAAGAGGGTACCTCAGCAGTAGACCCATTAAAATTCGAATAAAAATATCTCACCTTTAAGGGTGGTAAATTAGGGGATGAATCCGGTTTATTGCATTTCACCCATTTTCCGTTAACTGATTTGAATTAAAGGTTGGTTAAAAAATAATTAACAATTAATATAGTAAGTAATACTATATTCAAATATTTTTTAAAAGTTTATTGCCGCATCGGGGAATGGAACCGACCAAATGTAAAAAATAGAACCTGTGTTCATAATTACAATAGTTATCTTTTTTATGGAATAAATACCTGCGCATTTGTCTTCCACTATCTTCGCTTACTTATTTAGCTTTCTGACGTTTCCCATCTTTCATAGATAAAGCTGCTTAAATCTACGTTTCCGGACACACAATTCCAACCACCTTGCATTTTTACTTTTTTTATGATATCATGTGACGGGACGAACAAGTTGTTTCCCTGATGGTAAGCGACACGCACATGGACAGCCATAACAGTTGCAGTCCCACTCAGAATTTTACATCGCAAAGATCTGATGATGAGATGACTGCTGCTACGCCCGTCACCATGAGACATAAGTTGATAAGTCTCATGTGCCTGTAATTTCACTAGCACCCTTACCCTCCAAAATGGAATGCTTTTCGCCAGAAATACTGGAAAAATGGCAGTACTTCCTTGGACGAACTCTTTTACAGGGAGCTCTACTACTACTAAATAGTACTAAATATCGTAAGCATAAGCTTAAACAACGTTTGGATTCATCAAGAATAATTAACGCAACTTTGAAATTGGTATACCAAAGGTTATTTCTATAAGTTATTCTTGAAAATTCGGAGAAAATTTTTTCTTCGGTGATAACAATATTTTTGTAAAGGCCTTTAAGAGAAAATATGCAAGGTGGCCATTGACTTACAATTATATGGACGTCGGGTCCACGCTAAAAAGTGTCCGAACTTATAGGGCGTTAAAATCGTATACAGAGCGTCATTCACGTGTTAGTCTTCGTTTGTTCGACTGACAGCGAAGCAAGCAAAATTAGACAGTACTGCGATGACATTACAATTTAAATTCAACGTTTTAGCTTTTTCATATTCCTTGACATGTCACTACGTTTAAATAGGTTGACTTGGGACATTTTTTTCCTAGTTTTTGTATTAGACCCGTCGTCCATTTATTTGTAAGTCAATGAAGGTGGCTATAATTTTGTGTCCGAGAGTGTATAAACAGGATCTATTGTCACTCTCTTTGACAGAGTGACCGTGGATTTACATTTAATGGGAACAACCCTTTTGATCCTAATCGATATCCTATTATTCAAATATTTTGATTCATTCAATTTGTGATGTCATGAAATTTAACTCCTAACGCAAAAGTTATAAGTTCGAGGTTCCAGTCAGCTTGCTTGGGGCATAGCTATTTTACTAACAGAAAAGTTCCCAGTAAGGCTCCAATTTTGATTTCCAAGATTTTCAGTCTTCGTTAAAATAGTACTTTCGATTTGTTAAATATCCAAACTTGATTTTAAATGGTTATGGGAGATTATGGCAGTGATGCTCTTTTTTTCAAAGAAACCAGCCATCAGATTGAAAGTGGGTGGGTACCGTCCATTGACATCGACAAACCTCACTTGTCACTCATCTCAGAACTGGTACATTTTCGATTGTGCTTCGATTGCGTTGACATAACAAATATAGCTTATATTTAAATTTTCTATTCAGATTTAGGGCGTGTTCAAATTAGCCGCTGTTAGGCGCGCTGCAGCAGCGCAGCAGCAGCACAGCAACAGCGCTGTAGCAGCGCTGCAGCACGTCACTTCTCATACAATTTCTAGAAGAGAGCCTGCAACCGCGGAGCGCCCGCGCCGCTGCCGCGCGACACTCGCGCTGCAGTCACGCTCGGTTGTAGTAATGGTTGTGTTTGAGGTAGGTACATATTCATTTTTTAAAATAACCACGAAGGCAGAAAATTTAATTGAAGAATTTATAGAGAATTGAAAACAACACCCTGCAATATGGGATAGCAGTTCCGCCAGTTAGTCCGATCGACTGGAAAAAAAAAGGCATGGGAAAATTTGGTCGCTCTTCAGCAGCGCGACAGTCGCGTGCCTTAATTTGAACACGCCCTTAAAACGTTGGCAACATTTTTTACGAAGGCACATACTTTCCATTGCCTTGAATTATATGGTATATTTTTTTTACTCACCAGTCAGGAATATCCAAAAAGTATTCAGGATAAACATAGGAGACGCCAACATTGTTGACAAGCGTGCCAATCTCGAGGTCAGCGATTTCTTTGGCAATCGTATCGTAGATATTTTCGCCATCACTAAAGTCGACTCTCACGATTTTTGTTGATACTTTGAAATCTTTTTCTGAAACAATTAAGAAGCGTGTTACCATTTATTCAACTGTTCAAGGTCAGCTTTTATGCTGATGAAAGAAAATATAATGACTTACCAATTTCTTCCGCAGTAGCTTTCAGTTTGTCTAAAGAACGGCTGACTAGAACAATGTCACAGCCTCTGGATGCCAACTGTAACAAAAGAAAGAATTTTTAATGAAATATCATAGAGGAATCTTAATCTTGCATACTATTTTCAGGCTCTTTGAATAAATAAAAAAAAAGATATTGGGACTACAGGATGATTTGCAGATTTCCATCCTCTGTCAACTAGAATAGATAGCTGTCTTAGTAAATATTCGTTTTCGGAAATAAGCACCATTGGTCGTCTATTATATGAACAATTATAAGATAATGCTGCCGTCCGCGTAAAACGGGGCTAAGTGACAAAATATTTTTTTGAGATATAATAATCTCAGTACAGAGTACTACAAAAAACCGACCTCAAAAGTACGTGGAATTACGTCTATTTGCTAAGTTTTATTGAAATATCCTTAAATTCGCCTCTATACAGGACTTGACACTGGAGATAATAAAAATATATTCTCACTACTCAAAGAATATTGTGAGAAAAACGCCTTGAATTGGAGAAATAGCAAAATCAACCATTAAAATAATTGCTACTTAAGAAAATTTAGGCACTATTTTAAAAATGAATCTTCATACGTGAACAGCCGCCCTTAGAGGAGGATGATTTCCTTCAAAATGAAATGGGACCACTATGGAAGTATCCCCTTTCCAACAAAAGAAGAATCATGAAAATCGGTTCACAAACACCGGAGTTATCGCGTAACATACATACAAAAAAAACATACAGTCGAATTGAGAACCTCCTCCTTTTTTGAAGTCGCTTACAAAACCATAACCCAGTTTTAGAATATTGAAAAACCCATAACCCCGTTTTAGAATACTGAAATTGTTTAATGATATTTCAGTAACGCATCGTTAGGGTAAATTCCGATAAGTCGAACACCTTAACTAATTTTAACTGTTTTTAAAAAGAGAATTTTGTACTCTACCTTTTACACTATTTAAAACTATTATTTCAAGAGTTGTCACTTAGCCGAATTTCAGTTAGTGGACGGCAGAATACGATACGGACTGGAATGTTTTTTATATCATATCATCGTATAGATCCAACCTTGGCCCCAATTCTGCTAACTTTAAATCATCTCAGCTGTGTGTCAATTTAGGTTATGTGTTTTTTACAATATCAAGTGACGGGACGAACAAGTCGTGCGCCAGACGCTACATGCCTGTACTTTTTAAGCTACATGCCATTTGCGAAGATCTGAGGGGCACTACCACTGCTCACTTATCCTGAGCACTAACACAGTAATGCTGACATTGCTGCTTGGCGGCAGAAATAGGTAAGGTGGCAGTATTACCCTGGACGAACTCTTTCACAAGGAGCTCTACTGACTGCTAAAATTACTACACGATGTACTTATGTATTTGATCAATAAAGCGTATATGGCAGGATTTTGTTCGTTTGATATTCTGCAAAAAGTTGCGAGTATATGCTATTCAACTGCCATTGCAATTTTCATACAACGTATTCTGCTCTTCAATGGCAATCGATAGCATGTCGATGGCGTAATCTACAAATTATTTGACATACAAATTTATAATATATTTAATTTGAAGACTAAATTGTGGACTGAACGAGATAAAAATATATACATAGTTATGTCCATGATAGTAAAGGCAACATCGGTTGTTACTGATAGAAAGAATGTATGCCATTACTGTCATTCCACTGATACTACATTGAGATTCAACCGTTAGCGCCCAGTTACCACGCCTTCAAGTACATTAATGGCGAATCTGAACACTATTTATTATGCAACAACATTTAAATTCCTCTCAATAAAATTACCGCGTGGTCTAGGTAAAAGCTAAACAAATAGAGCGTATTTTGCCATGACAGTTAGGGGCACGCGGTCGCTGCGCGGCGGCAACGCGGACTCCGCTCTTCGACCGCGCGGCGCCGCGCGGTGAGCGCGATGGAATTCGTATCGAATAAATGCGCCCTTATAGTAACTGGATTTTAACAGAATAACAAATCATCGTCATAATTGCAGTATAATCCTAGCGGAGTCTCAGTGGAATTACAATGACTAGTGGTTTTAACCCTTTGACGGCTGTGGACGCTTTAAATCGTCCTTCATTAACTTGACTGATACACCAATGCTACCCTCCTAACTAAGAGTGCAGTAAGTAAGTCAAACCTGTTTTCGAAAAAAACGTGATTAAAGAATGGTTTAAGAAAATAATTTAAAATTTACTCTAGCTCCAAAACTACGCAAGTTACAGCGACGTGGCATATATCAATAGAAAGGTAAAAGAATGAAGATTTGTAAGGTAACATATTTGTATATGTATGTTAAGGTTATGTATGATAATATTTCAAAAGTATACTTATGTTTAGTAACTGCTCTAGTAACACAACTGATCCTCCTAACCATAAAGGCAGTAAGTACCCTAGATACTGCACTAATTATTAGATAAATATCGTACTGCTAATTAATCTAGAAACTACATATTCAAAAACAAATTAATAATAATATACATAATAAATAACCGCAGTATCTATTAAGTGACTGCAGTTGTTGCTAAAAATACACTTCATATTGATACTATTTTCTAATGTTTTATATACAGTCGAAACTCACAATTTGTTAGTATTTTTAGCAGCATGCTGCATTGCTTGAGGTTTTGGTGAGTATCGGTGGGCTAATTCCCTCCCTTCACTTTTTTCTTTCCTCTTTTCTCGTTTCCTTCCCTTCTGTAGTGTTAGCAACGACTGAGTAATGCCATTGGTATTACACGCGTACATGATAGGCTAAGGTAAGAGTTCGAGTCCTATTGTTTATTGTATACACAACTGCTTATTCAAGGAATAAATGATTTATATTTCTATTTCCCAAGACGGACAAACTGTTAATTGGATTGGGAATATAAAGAGATGAGAAAATATAGTATTTTATATAGATATATTAATTTCGTACATTTATAAAATCGGAATTAAAACAAAGAAAATTCTTGTATTATTTATTTGTTCAAATCCCATATATATTATTCCCAAATATATGAACCCTTAATCACATTTCGATTGACAATAAACAATACAAAAAAAAATCAAACCTTGCCTTATATTGAAGTTAGTTAAAGTTCAGTCTCCTTATTACAATTATTTAGCTGAGGAACTATAATTTGAGATCACGTTTCTTTATTAAAAAACTATATTACTATTATTAACGCTATGACAACGGCTATGACATTCAGTCTTCTCTGATTAATTATTTTACTTGAGATCACCTTTATATATCAAAAAATAAAATTTTTTCACAAGTATTTATAAATATTACGTATTACGCACAGGAAGCGGACGACGCACAGAGGAGTATTTCAACTCAAAGTTGCTCAAAATGATTTTGTGAATTTTATCGTTTTGACATGTAATAAAAAGCAGTTTAAAGTCATTATATTGTATTTAAAACACAGATTTTTGGTTGTATTGAAAATTAATTGCAAAAAATATAATATTAATGGTATTCGTCTTCATAAGACCCATCGTCATTTTCGTTACACCTAAGTTGATGTTGCGTTCGATGCTTCCGGCAGCAGAAGTTCCTATGTCTCAATGGGGAAAAAATTACTTTTTTTTCTGTGGCATTTGCATTGTACTGCTCAAAAAAGAATCAGAATTTAACAAAAGTCTGTGTTAAATATACCTGCGGGACTTTTTTATTTAGAAAGATTATCAAGAATAACTAAGTTATAAGTTACACACAAAATCACAAGTTAACTAGGCTTAACTGATATAACTGATATACATGATATACATTTTTGCCGTGGGGCGACGGCTTAAGAATACATTGTCGCCTCCCCATACATGCCCGTGGGGGTCGTAAGAGGCGACCGAGGGCGTCACAAGTGTCCATCTGCTTAGCGTTGTGGTAGGCTTTGTGCCGACTGGATAGCGACCACAGTACACACGGCGGAAAACCCTCCACAGTGAAACGCTTTTGCGAATCGCGTTCAGGGATCAGTTGGTGTACATCCAGTGCACGTGGAGTTTTCGGCGCGGTATCTGGGAGGACTGAGGCGGATATTCGCCATGTCACTTGTTGAGGGATATCTAGTTGACCTGCCGCCCAGGGAGACCCGTAGAAACGGTTGTCCGCTGGCCGCCCGCGGTACAGTACAGGGGCCCAATAGGGACTAACTACCCCTAGAGGCTGCCCCACCATGCCGCGCATAATCTTGGGGTAGGTCGTCGTGCCGGTTAGTGACCGGAATTTGGGGTCCCGGCGGCATATCCCGGGGGGGTACGGGGGCCCTTTCGTTCGGCGGGTCAGCCGGCTATCCTTCAAAAGATCAACGGCATGTATTGCAGTTCCCCTCGTTTTTCTTCTTCGATGCGGTGCCGAAGACTTCATCTCTTCACACTACCGCCTTCTTACCCACCATGACAGCGCAACATAAGAATGCAGATCGTTCAGCGGTGCCTAATCCCCCCACCGCGTTTATTATTGAGTTCGCTAACATCCGCGGACTCCACTCCAACCTCAAAGCTGTCCACCATCACCTCGAGACAGCCCGGCTTGCCCTGCTTTTCCTGACGGAGACGCAGATTCGCCGTCCGAATGATATGAGTTACTTGAACTACCCCGGCTACTCGCTTGAGGAAAACTTTCAGGCCAAAGCCGGGGTATGTGTATATATTCGTTCGGATGTGTGCTGTCGCCGTCTGCGCTGCCTGGAGGACCCCTCCTTTTCCACTATGTGGGTGCTCGTAGAATCTAGTTGTTCAGCTAGAGTCTTCGCGTGCTTATATAGATCCCACAGCGGGGATGCGGAGACAACTAGGCTCTTTGACCAACTGAGCCAGGCGACTCTTGACGCGCAGGCGCAGTTCCCATCTGCGGAGATGGTCGTGTTGGGGGACTTTAATGCTCACCATGAATCATGGTTAAGTTCCCTCAAGACTGACCATGCAGGAAGAACTGCCCACGCTTTCGCTCTCACGCATGACTTGACCCAACTGGTAACCCAGCCCACCCGGGTTCCAGACATATCGGATCATGCACCCTCTTTGCTTGACCTTCTGCTCGCGAGTCACCCTA